TGTCCATATTTAAATCATATTTACAAGTTAATTTAGTATAGGGTTAGGGTTATAATTAAGTTAGGGTTAGGGTTATAAGCTAAACTTTGAAATATCTAAATGATGTTTTATAGACAAAATTGTCTTTCTATATTACTAATGTACCATAAACTTTGCAAGCAACTAGTGTCTACTTAAAATATTACATAGATATTACTATCAAGTCATTTATAAAAACTGATAGCTTTTACAAGCACTCTCTGATAACCATTAATTACAAAGGTTCCAAATTTCGGTATGGAATCACGTGGCAAATTTCAAATATGTACATGGAGCTCAGCCAAATTTGAAAGTACCACACATTAAAAGATGTCTCTGCTCAAAATTCTTCACAGAACTTGGGGTCTTTTAGGATGTTCTAGCAATACCACATCAGCAGTTGAGCTGTGCTCCACAGCTTCATTTGCACTAAAGGTCAGAGCCACATGCAAGCTTGGTTTATGCACTGGAACACAAACTAATGTACTGGAAAAACTTGGCCCCATTTAAAGGTTGATTTGTCTGATCACCAGTCCACTCCATGACTCCAAAATGGATGTGCATTGAGAGAGGACTGACTATCTTGCTTTAATTAAGGTAATGAAAACATATTTTCCACTACAAATAGTCATTTAATTTTATGACTTAGTGATCAAATTCTAATTTTTGTTTTACAGTTTCCCTCAATCTAACTGCCAAGGGAAACAAGTTATTTTCATGACTGAAAAACAAAAACCTGATAATAATTTCATGGTTACTTTGGAGAGTGTGAAATCTAAGTTCTAGTGCGGTAAATTGTTCCAGATTAATTGTTTGCTATATGGAAAGTGATTTGTTTAACAGGAACACTTTGCCTAGAATCCAAGTTCTTCTCAGCAACTACTAGCTTTTAGCCTGTTTCAAGTGGTCCATTTATCTATTTGCTGCTCTTAGTTGAAATATAACCTCCTTTTGACATATTTGGATTATTGGCTTCCCTGATTTTTCCAAGGATTGAGCAGGTAGGTCTAGATGCCTGAGCTTTGGTTCTCCTTGTCATTTCCTCCAGTTGCTCATGAGTGTCTAGAGTCCTCTGAATGGTGAGCCCAGACTTCTGCCCACTCATGCCTGTTAGCTACAGCAGATGCAATAAGGCCGAAGGATACCTGTGAAGTGCAGTGATGTACAGCTATCTCCCTGGACAGCCTGCTACCTGCCTGACCCCGCGTTCCCCTTCTGCATACCTGAAAATCTCCCACATCAAAGGAGGATGTGGTCTGGAGACAGTCTGCTCTCCAAAGGAAGGAGGATAAAACAGCTGCCACCCAGCCTTTCCAGCTTTAAGCTAGATCTTTAAGTCGAGAGAGTAAAGGAAGAGCCCTCCAAAACAAGTCTCCTAAGGAGGCTGACTAAAATGAGGAACAGTCACCTTCAAGTGAGGGACAGTTCTTGGCTGAGGTTTGGGCCTGTACCAGCAGTGGAACATGAGCCTGGCCTTTTCCCACCCCATCCTAGGGCACAGGCACATCCTTCCCAAAAAGGATGCCCAAAGCTTGCCCGAGGTTTAGCCCTTCATCTTCCCCCAAAGGCTAACTAAGGCCGAAGGCATCATTTCTAGAGATATGGACCCAAGCTGTGCTGGCAGCTCTGCCACATTCTCTTTTCAGAGAGCTGTAGGTTCCTATGATGAGGGGCCCAAGGGACAGTGATGCTGCCAGCTCGGCCCCATTAGCCCAGTGCACCACTAGCTGCTGGCTGCGTGAACATCTCAAAGTCACCAGCTGATTGCCAAGCAGCCAGAGGTCTGCAAAACAGATAGCAATGTCTGGCATTTCTTCTACTTTAGTTTTTATTGCTGCAAAGTGTAAGGTGTGAGCTACCCGCCCTTCTCTGACAACAGTTCAGTGAGGAAAAGTGGCTCATGACCATGAGTGACCACTTAGCGAGCTGCCTGTCTGTTTTCCACGGATGCATTTAGAGGAGGAAGCCAGTAGCATTTTGGCAATGTGTATCAGTTTTTCCTAACACTCTCAAATGACTGGGCTTTCTCTCTCCTCCCTCCCCAAATTTAACACACTTACATACACTGCCCAAATTACTACAGGCTGTGCCTTGGGGGCACAGGAGGATGTTGATGGGGACAGCCATGCTCTTTTTCTATCATCACTTTGGGCATTGAATGCTCAGGGCTACAGTAATGAGTTCTATACTAAATGCAATATACATATACATGCATATATATATATATATATATATATATATATATATATATATTTACTTTGAATGTTCAGCACCACAAACTTAAAAACTTTGAAAGTCATATAACTGGGAAGTAGACTAGAGACAGGGTCAAAGATTTATTACCTTTTCTAAATTTTATGAGTTCTATTGTTCCTTTCCTTCATTACTAGTGTTAGCAATAATGAGAGTTCTAGGAAAAAAAGACTACCCCCCTCCCCCATTTCCCTAATGCAGTTCTCTGTTCAGGCTTCTCTAGGAATGGAAAAGAGTTTCTTTTCTCTTTATTATGTTTTCCTAGATAGCAAGGTACAAAAGAGCAAGGGGGAATCTCACTTGGACAGTTATAAAAATTTTTAAACACTTAAAATGTTCTTGTGGAATCTGAGCCACAGACTTATGAAACACCTTCGGTTTTCTTAGGATTATTTCAGGTGTGTGAATTTTGAACGGTTTGCATGATCATCATTTAATATCTGGGGCATATTTTTCATTGTTGACCAATTTCTCAAGATAATGAGAATGGCTAGAATGAGAGATATTCCTCTAACCTCACCCCACCCTCCTTTTTTTCCCCCAAGTACGAAATTCACTGTGGCAGGAAAGAGACCCAAACAAGCCAGGGCAACTCTTGATTGTTCCCAGAAAGATGCATGTGTGCTGCGTCACTGGCGCCCCAGGAGCCGGGTGGGGTTCGCTTATTACTGAGACTTCCTGACACATTTCGGCACGCTGGGTCACTTAGCAACTTGGGGAACTCAGATTGTGGGTCCAGGCAAGCTAATTCAAGTTCACAAATGAGATCCACCCCAAACTTTGTAGAGACTCGATCATAAAGATGCAGGCTTTGCTAGCAGGCGTTGCCTTTTGCTCTTGCAAGTGCTAGATTCGCTTTTGCCCTGCATGCAGATACAAGTGGAAATGTAAATTTCTTTCTTTATGGCCCAGTAGGTACAGGTCGGTATCCCGTCCTGGAGTTGCCAGAGGAAGGTACAGTGCCCGCGCTCAGAGCTCATCAGTCCCTGTGCCAAACTGTCGCGACAGGTTGGCGGCGCGGGGCAGACCCAGGCACTGACTCGCAGCTATCAACCGCCCGGTGGCAGGTCCCCGGAGAGGGCCGGGAAACGCTGGGGCGCCCAGCGAAGCACCCGGCGCGCCCCTCCTTCGCAGGTGCGCGCTCCACGCAGGACTCTGCACTGTAAAAGGCGCCACAAGCTGGCAGGGGTGGAGGAGCCTGAGAGCCAGGAAGGTCGCGGGTGTCAGGTTCCAAAACTCAGAACTGGGAGAACACAGGGATGATTTAGGAAGCCCCGATGGCGGGCTTTTCGGCACTCCAGGAGCCCGGGGAGGGGAACTGGGGATCAGCGAGCTAGAGTTCTGGTGGAAACTTCAGCGAGTAGCAAGTGGCAGTGTGTCGCAAAAAGCAGTAAACTTTTTTTCCCTTCCCATAACAAACTTGAGACAGGGGCAGTGTTGGGCTGCTAATCTGCCAAGAGAAAAGGGAGGGGAGGAGAGAGAGGAGAGACAGAGAGTGCATGAATGTGTATGAATACAGATGGGGTCCGGAGGGTTTAGCGGACCCCAGAGTGCACCCAGGCCAGGTCAAGCTCGTAGGAGGTCCGGCCGCTTGAACCCCACCCCGGGGGCAGACACTTGTTCTGCCGCGTAGAGCTGCGGCTCGGGAGGAAGTCTGCGTGTTTAGTGCAGCCCTCTCCCGTCCGAAGGTCATTTGCGCTTTTCAGTTTAGTAAGAGAAGACACTCAGGAAGGGAAGGCACAGGTCATTTTCAAAGGCTCGCTGAAGGACGGGCCGCCCGTCGGGGGTGGCAACCCTTAATTACTCCCTTCAGTCTCAGAATCCATCTTCCCGGCAGTGTCTCGCACTCCCACCTCCTCGCGTGACTCAGCTGACCTGAAATGCCCACCCTATGGAAGATCAAGAAAAGTAGTTTTCTAAGAAGGTTAGAGGTTTGATTACCCAAGAAGTGTTTCCACTTAAGTCCAAAGCAATTACCCGTCCTCTCCCCCAGGTCCTCTTCCCGGTCACCCGGAGAAGAGAAGGACAGGTCCCCGCGCACGTACCCCCGGACTTTGTTGGTGCGTGTGAATTTCAAATGGCGCAGTAAGTTCATTAGTGTTTGCAATCAGCGGCGGGCAGACCCCTCATCAGAGCCTAAAGCCGGCAAGAGCCATTCATCAGCCTGAAGTGTTATTCATGGATGACCCCTAAATCACGGCGAGAGTAGTAGGCGCACTGATTGGTCACAGCACGGGAGCCCGGTGCTTTCCCGGACCCGCCGCTGCCAGGGGGCGGGAGGAGGGAGAGAGGGGCGGCGAACGTGGTTCAGTCCGGCAAATCCCATTTGACAGAAAAAGGCAGGAAACGGGGAATCTGTTTTTTTGAATAAAGAAGAAGAAATAAAGTACCTGTCATCTTGACAAGTGGCAGAGCGGAGGAGTCTAGGATTATAAATGATCACGGCCCGGTCCAGCTCGCCCCGTGATTGGGCTCTCCCGCGATCGGCACGGGGGAAGCGCATGGTAGGCTCCTCTCCTCTTCCCCCCTCTTCTCTCTGTCTCTCTCTCTCTCTCTTCCACACACACACACACAAACACACACACACTCTCTCACTTTCTGTCACACACACAGGAACACAGGGACACGTGTACGCGCCTGGTCTCGGTCACACTCGCCCAGAGTCCCCCTTCACACCCTCGCGGTCCTGGATGCTGCGCCCTGGCACGGCGCCCAGCTGGCCTCCTCACCTTTCCTCCTCCTCCTTCCCCCTCGCCTCCTCCTCCTCCATCCTCCATCCTCCCGCTACCGGCCCGGGCCCCGAAAAGTCCGGGCAGGCGTCGCCAGCCGCGGAGGAGGCAGGAGGGGGCCGGCGGGAAGGGAGAGGGGGAGCGCGGGGGAGAAAAAGAAAGTGAACTCATTGGCGCTCGGCGCGCTTCCCTCCCCTCGCCGCGTCCCCGGCCGCCGGGCCGGCGGTGGGCTGGGAAGGAAGTTGTAACACTTGCTGTTCTCCCCTCCCCGCCCCCTCTCCCGCTCCCGCTCCTGCACCCCGGACCCCTCCCCCGCGCCCGGCTCCCTTGAATTTGGCCCGGCGCGGTGCGTGCGCGCTGCTCGGGGGACGCGGCGGCTGCGGCCGGTGGCGAGCGGCGTGGCGGGCGAGCCGAGCGCGGTAAGTGCGGCGCCGCCGCCGGCGCGCCCTGCTTCCTTCTGGGGTCCTAGTGCCCGGGCCGCGGCGCCGGGAGCGGGCGGGCGGGCGGGCGGGCGCGAGCGAGCCGGGACGCGCGTTTCTCCGTGCCGCTGGCGGGCGGCCGCAAGTTGCCCGGCACCGTGGGCGGAGGAGCACCTTCTCCTCCTCCTCCTCCTCCTCCTCCTCCTCCTCTGGGCCCCTCGGTCCCGGCCTCCCGGTCCCGCCCCTCCCTCCAGCGCGACACCTCCGGTGCGAGCTCAGGTGGGAACTGCACCCGCGCCTGGCACCTGGGCGCGGGACGCAGCGCCCCTGCTCCGGGGGCCTCCGGACTCCGGGGTTCCTCCGCAAACAGTCCCGACCGAGGCTGAGCGCGCTGGGGGCGGGGAGTCCAGTCGTCTTGCCCTCTTTGGGGCGATACCCAGTTTGGTGGCGGCAGCGCCGCGTGCTCCGCGAAGGTGTCTGACGGGATCCCGTGCGGCTTCCAGCGAGCGGGAAGCCCTGGGATGTCACCACTTTCTCGGGAAGTGCAGAGAAGGCTTTCCCGACTGCCAGGCAGCCAAGTTGGAAAGAGGAGTGGAGGAAGAAGTAGGAGCTGGGGGTGCTGTGAGGAGTGGAGGTTCAAGACTGAAACTTGATCTGGAAAACTCTTGAGTGAGACTGGAAACAAAACCAGAAATACCCTGAAGTGGGCATTTAAGAGAAATTTATGAATCTTCAACTCAACCCGAGTTCTATCATGCTTTACAGTCGGTGAGAAGGGGCTTCCGATTATTTAAAGGTCGAGGTGGATTCTGTCAGATCTTTGCTGAGCATCTTATTATGCAGTTCAGATTCCATTCTTACTGCCTCACTTTAAAGATAGTTGTAATGGGAAAGTATTATTAGTTTTTATTGTGGAAAAAGGGTCAGGGAATGATGCTACAGTGCATACAGCAAATACATTTGTTTTCTAAAGTCATTATAATTCCAAGCTAGAGAAAACTTCACAGGTACTTTTGAGTGAGTGCAATGGAAATGAAAGGGTCGAGAAGGTCTTAGTACTTTTTAAAGGGAACCAGGCAGCTGGGATGTCCAAGAACAGGACTCTCTTCATAATACTCTCTATTTCTTATCTTTTGACAGTGTATTTGTCAAACATTTGTAGGCTCTGGCAGAATCCACTGGGTGGTCTTTTCACGAGAAACAGAAATATGTTTAGACATTACCTTTCCCTTCTGTTGCCAAGTGGGTAAAAAAAAAAGGCAAGACGGGCATTTTTGGAAAGCTTGCAAGAGTACCCCTCCATGGGTATTACTGCTGAACAGAACTGATTTGTTTCTCTTACTGTTTAAAATGTGATGCATAGCCTCTTATGCTTATTTGGGAGAAGTATTTGTAGTCTTTTTAGTGTATCAGGAACCCTAGAAACAAAACAGAATTTACAATTAAGGAATAGCATGAAGAAACAATTTAGAACTAGGAACAGAATTTAGAATTAGAGGTGGCCACATAATTATAATTTATTACAGATTGAATATTTATTAAACTACAAGGTTTTATAAATACATCGATATTCTTGTGCATTCCTTTCTAACCTTTTAATTGTCTAAAACTTACAGCTTGTGTTTCTTAATGTGTGAAATTCTCATATATGCCTTGAAAGTTTCGATTTGTGATTCTAAATGCAGAGCAAATATTTAATACTTGATCTAAGAGTGAGAGGTTAGTTCAGTAATAAGACTTGCTAATCCCACTTTTAAATGTCATGGCATTCACAAATTATTCTTAAATTCTTCAAAGATGGGGGTTTATAATGGGTTTAGTTATCCTTTTGTGCATTTCAGGATTGTGTGGACCTCTCTTCCGGTTGCAATTTCTTTAATAATCTTGTCTTTTTCTTGCATGAATTTTCATATTTCTCTTACTCAAAAGTACTGTGTTTTTCTGGTAGTAAATTTATTTTATTTTGCATAACTTAAAAAGAAATACTAGAAAAGGTAGTTCCTTCAAATATGACAATATATATCTTCCATATGCTGCACAATATTTATGAAAAATGTAGTTTTACAAGAACTATGTCAATGTATGTGTATTTGGAAACTGAGTATACTGTGTCAATCCCATTAGGGTTAGCAACTTATAGTATAGACTCTAGTGCTTTGTTATTTGAAATAAAGCAGATATATTTATAGTAGAATTGTGGCTATTTTTCCAAATTGTGTGACTGTTTACTTTCTAGGAAGAAATGTTTTAGGTGAATTATAGAGGTTTACTATCATCTGGTAGGCATGTCATCAGGCTTTTAGTTAGAAAAAAGAACCTGCTTTATTAGGGTGAAGACAAAGAACGATAAGGATGTTTGTCTTTGAACAGAATAAAGCCTCTAAATTGAGTGAAAAGTTTTAAATTTATTCAGAAAGTAAAACTAGCTGAACAATAATGATCCAGTTAGTAAGTTCAAGCTAATGTTTCTTAGCTTGGCTTCTGAGAGCTAAGAGTAATTACTCTCTTTGTAAAGAGTCAAGCAAATAAGAAACCAGGGGAAAGTGTAGGGGTATCATTGTGAGTAGAATGACACGTCAGAAACATTGAGTCATCCTTGGGCTAAATGTATTAAAAAAATATGCTTTTGCAACATCTGTGAAAGTATGCTTGCAAATGCTGAAGTTCATCCTACCTACAGTGATACTAGGAAATAAGTTCTTAAGCAAGATCATAGTCTGATGTAAAAGTGCCATCAAGCCAACTTTATTCATTTAATATTGATTATTAAAAGATACATGTACCTAATTTTTATTAAACTTTATTCTTGAAATATTTTATTTCTGGTCAACAGCAAAATGTTACCCAGGTATTGGTCTGTGAGTCAGTGCATTAAGCAGTTCACAAATTGTCTTTCCTTTTCTGGAAGCTCTGATGTGGAAACCTGTTAAACATGTTGAGTTACATGTAATTTATCAATTCATTGTTTTATTTACTAGTCAGATGTCCATTTGACTTTGAGGACATACCATCTTTACCTCTGCTGAGAGTATGAACAAAGAATAGGATGATTTACTACCAAACTTTTACTCTGATCTGTGGGCAGTTATACATTGCTTTGGATTTTCAGCTGAAGTCCGCATTCATATTCGTCTTGTAAAGTGGAATGGTAGTCTGAAGAAGAACTTAACATATACATTCAGAATGAAGAAGTGTATAGAAAAAGTAGTACAATAGTGCGTGTCATTTAAAAAGTTTCAACAACTAAGTTTCAAAGATTATTTCATGTAACCTTCTTTTATAACACACTGAAAACCTAATCTTGGAGATACCAGCTGTTTTAACAGTCCTGATGGAAATTTTATACTTGAAAAAAAAGTCTTAGTCTGAAAACTGATTAATTGTTGTGTCTTATAAAACCTGATTTATTTTATATTTTTTATACCAAGCATTACCATTATGAAGCTCTCCTTCTAATTGAGATTAATGTTTCTGTGCAAAGAAGTGGTTTGGAGGGCTGCATTCATTTTGAGTGCTGTTGTAATCAATTTTAGATACAGCATTCCACAATGGATCAGTTTGCATCCAAACCTGCCTTATTATGTAGAATTAACTTGTTGGTGATTGATAGTAATACTTCTGTATTTTGAAAAGTCATTTGTTTCCAAACAAGTGTGATGGCTTGTATGAATTTCGAAATACTGCTTCTGGTAATTAAAACTTCCTTTTGGGTACCTAATTTGAACTTTTTCTAAGAATTATATAAAGCATGAGGAAACAATTCATTACCACATTTTCAGCTAAAAAAAAAAAAAATAGCCTCCTGCCCAAAAAAGTACAATATGCCTCAAGGTATATTTTTTTTTGCCCATCAAAGGATTTTATAGCCTTGGTAATCATTATGTATCTAGATTATTTTCTTTCTTTTTTTTTTTTGGTTTGTATCAACGTTCTAGATGAATTTCCAGAGATTTCTTAGAATAATAGATATTCATTTTGTACCTGTATTATAATTTTATTTCATAAGAGGATGATATAATTCTGGAAATGAAGGATATATGTGTGGAGGTGGTTTCTTACTGCACATACAAAAATACATTATATATTTGCATCTCTACTGTGGTATTTGCATTTGTTTCTGTTTGTATCTGGTCAGCATCACTTTCATCAGTTTTTATATTCTTCTGAAAAACCATGTTCAGTTTTTCTTTGGTTCATATTGCATTGTTTATTGTGGCACAAGGTTGTTGTCACAATAAAATAAAATATTAAAAGCATAGATTTTAAGATTAACATAGATAAGTGATCGACCAGATCGGTAGTTTGTAGATTTTTTTCTGAGAGAACTGCTTTAAAATGCATGTGAAGTTCCCACAGTGACATTGTTCTTCAGTTTCTTGTTAAAAAAGACTTGGTAGGAACTATGTTTCTGGTTATATTTTAATTTTCTTTCCTGTAATGATAGGTTATTTGCATTGAATTGGTGTTATTCTAGTGTAAAACATTCATTTAAAACAGTCTTAAATGCTAAAATAAAGCATTTAAAATGCCATTTTCCAAGTGTTATTTTAGATAACCATTATAGCATAAACTACTAAAATGCAAAACCTAAAAATTGTCTAACATAGATATATGTTTCTCATACCCAAGCTACAATAGCCAAGCCATTCAGTTGAAGGAGTTTTGATCAAATAACTTTAGGTGATTGAATAGTTAGATTAACTACATAAAATTTGTTAACAAAATGATCTACTCATATCTTTCTACTTTAAATAGATTCTCTTGCAATTCATGTCAACATCATAGAACATAGTCATAAGTCATATGAGTAGGTGGTTGCAGCCATATCAAATGATAATGTGGTGA